GATTTACTTACATTGACTACCACTCTCTGGGTCTGACCTCAGAGCCAGTTCCCCAGCCACTGGACTGTAATGTAGCCAAGGCTGCAGTTGGCCAATTTTTCTACGGGATGATCATGGGATACCAGATCAAAGGCTTTTTTAAAATCAAGATATATGACGTCAATCTCTTCTCCCTTGTCCAGGTGATATGTCACCTGGTCATAGAAGGAGATGAGATTGGTCAGGCAAGACCTACCTGCAACAGACCTGTGCTGGCTATCCCTCAGGATGTTGTCATCAGCCAATTTGTCAAGAATGATCTCTTTGATAATTTTTGCCAAGATCTTCTCCAGAATAGAGGTCAGGCTGATGGGCCTGTAGTTTGCCGGATCTACTTTCCTCCCTTTCTTGAAGATAGGCACCACATTGGCCTTCTTCCAGTCTTCGGGCACTTCGCCTGAGTGCCATGAGTTCTCGAAGATCCATGCCAGTGGCTGAGCTATAATGCTTGCCAGCTATGGTGCTTGCCTTAAGTACCTTGGAGTGTAAATTGTCAGGGCCAGATGACTTGAAGGTGTCCAGTGTCTCAAGGTGTTCTTTCACATGGTTTACACTGATGAAGGGTAAAATTTCTCCCTCTCCCGGGCCATCCCATACCGTATTGAGCAGGGCCGTCCCCTGGGGTTGGTGAAAAACTGACAGAAAATACCCATTAAGCAAGTTGGCTTTTTCCTGGGTGTTGGTTGTCAGTTGTCCCATATGATTTAGCAGGGGTCCAGTATTACCCTTGCTTTCTCTCTGGCTCCCCACATATTTAAAAAAGGACTTTTTATTGCCTTTGATGCATGTAGCCAGTTGGAGTTCAGTCGCAGGCTAGGCTTTCCTGGTTTGCTCCCTACAGGTCCGGACCAGTGCAGAATGCTCCTCCTTTGAGGTGGATCCAGTCTTCCATCCTTTATAGGTTTTTCTTTTTAGATTCATGAGGTCCACAAATTCCCTGCAGAGCCAAGGGGACTGCTGTGCTCTTTTGCTGCCTTTCCTCCAAGATGGGATAGACATTGCTTGTGCTTCCAGGATTTCTCCCTTGAGGAGCAACCACTCATTCTGAATTCCCCTCCCCTTCAGACTGTGGTCCCTTAGGGCCTTACCAACAAGACTTCTGAGCTTGTCAAAGTCAGCTTTCCTGAAGTCGAGGACTTCTGTATTGCTGACTGACTTGCCAGCTTTACAGCGGATGGTGAAGGTGATCAGCTCATGGTCACTATCTCCCAGCTTCCCTTCAACTGTTAGGTCACTGATTAAGTCATCCCCCATTGCCAGTACCAGGTCGAACAGCGTTTTGTCTCTCATTGGTCCATAGACTTCTTGAGTCAGATAGAGCTCATCCATGCACATGAGGAAGCTTTGCAACCATTCGGATTTGGCTGAGTGCTCTTCCCATGAGATGTCTGGGTAGTTGAAGTATCCCATGACAACCATGCACCAGGAGCATGCAGTTCCTTGGCGAATTCCTGGTTGAGCTCTTGATCATGGCTAGGAGGTCTGTAGTAGACTCCTACCATTGTATCCTTTGTGCCATGTTCACCATGGATTTTAACCCAGAGAGTCTCCAGTTGTCCACCCTGGGTGCCAATGTTGGCTTGCAGGGATGTGTAACTTTCCTTGGCATAGACAGCTCCCCCCCTCAACCACCCCTTTTGTCTACACAATCTCTCCTGTACGAAGTATAGCCATCTATACCTGTGGCCCAGTCATAGGTGGAGTCCCACCACATCTCCTATGAGATCATAGCCATTCTTGTTTAGCAGGAGGACTAGTTCTTCCTGTTTATTCCCCAAGCTCCTGGAATTGGTGTACAGGTACATAAGTGTTCCATTGGGGGCCCTTGTCTTCACTATGCATCATTGGAGGGCTGGGGTAGAGGTTGGTTCCCTTGAGTGCCTTAGGCTGCTGGATTTGCAAAAGTTGCCCAGTGGGCTTGCTGTGGCGGTAGTCGCCCCATCCTCTGGCGGGTTTAGTTTAAAGGCCAGCTGAGCAGGTCATCCAGTATAGCTGAAAAGAGCCTCCTCCCCAGTGCAGTGAAGTAGAGGCTGTCTCTTCCCAGCAGACCACTGACTCTCTCACCAAAGTGCGAACTGTGATCATGTAAGCCGAAGCCTTCACAATGACACCAGCGCCGCAGTCTTTGGTTAACTACCTCGATCCTCCTCTCCCTCCTCAGCCCATAGCCTGAAAATGTGAGGATCGAGGAAAACACCACCTGTGTCCCCAACCCCTTAAGCCCTGCTCCCGAAGCCCTGTAGTATCTCATGACCCGGCTGGGATTGCTCTGAGCCATGTCATTTGTGCCCACATGGATAAGGAGCATAGGGTAGTGGTCAGTGGGCCAGATGAGTTTTGGGATCCTCTTGGCTATGTCCTGGATACGGGCTCCCAGGAAGCAGCAGACCTCCCGGGCTAAGGGGCCGGGGCAACAGATTGCATCCTCAGTCCCCCTCAGGAGGAAGTCTCCCATGATGACCACTCTATGAGTAGCCTTAGGGAGAGCAGGGATGGTAGCTGTGGCTGAGCCTGCATTGCCTGCAGGAGCTGGCAGCTCTGCAGACTCAACTCAGGCTGCAAAAGGTTCGTACCTGTTGCAAAGCTCCAGAGGGGAGCGGACCCTGGTGCAGCAGGCCTTGGGGCTGTTGACCACCTTGGTCCAACCCCCTGGCTGGACAGTATGGGAGATCCTCGAGTCCTTCTTTGTCTTGGAAGTTGACCTTGGTCTACCCTCCACCTCCAGGGTGTGAAGGGCCTGGCAGTAGGAGTCTATCTCCTGCTCGCCATCCCTGATGGCACCCAGTCTCTGAACTGCAGCCTGGAGCTCCTCTATCTGGTGCCCCGGGAACTCCCAAGTGGAGCAAACCTCACAAGGGAAGGTAGCCATGCTTCCGGTCCCATGTGCCTGGAAACGTGCCAGGCAGCCCCCACAGCCAAGAGCCACAGGCTCCATCTGTGTTGAGACTGGAACCATGGGTTCCGTCTGGGTGGAGACCTCTGAGGTGCCAGAGGGGGAGGCCTCAGACTCTGAGGGGACCCTCGGGGTGCAGCGCATGCCCATCCACACTGTGCTGCAGTAGTCCATCCAGCTACTGCTGTGACTACCTTCCTTAGGGCTCACTGGCAGGGCCTCAGGCTCTTCCGTTCACCCTCCTGCGCAAACTCCCACACTAAACTCATGCACCAGGCCCAGAAGCACGCCTGTTTGTGTGTCCTGTTCAAGAGGCTCTGGTCACATGGTTCCCTGGGGGGCTTGGTGAAGTAGGAGTAGGCCAGGGGGAGTGACCCTCCTAGGCTCCGTTCAGCTGTCCTGCAGCTGGGCTATGTCCGTCCCACAGGGGCCTCTGCTTACCTCCGAGTAGGTTGGGGCTCATTGGGTGTCCTGGGGTCCTCTTGGGGGGTCCTGGGCTCACAGGGGTGCAATGAGCTTCTGCCCATGTGTCTCTCGCCGGAGCGGGGACCTGAATGTGATGAATTGTGATGAATTTATCTTCTGAACAAAAGCACTTAACAAGTTGAGCTAATAATACCAAAATTATTGTGAAAAGAGTAGAGCCAATCTTTTTGGTAGGCATGCCATAAATTAGCTCCACACCCTCCCTGAGGGACAGTCTGATCCTTTCCCCTGCTGCCTGCTTCTTGTCCTGTGCTTCCTGCCTGTTCTGTGGCTTTACTTTCAACTTCCTATTATGTGCTCCCTGTCCAATCTGCTGTTCTGTTTTCTATTCCTTGCCCTATCTGCTGCTGTGCTGCCTGACTCCTCCCTGGTCTTGTTGGATAAATGACCAACACACGGGTTCGGAAAACCAAGGCTCATTGCATAACATATGGATAACTGAGGCAAACTTAGCAGTTTATATAAAGATTAACTGATACTCATTCATACCATATACTCCATTAACACCGTTCTCACGAAGTCTCCTATCCATGGAACTTGGAGTTACACTGTGGTGGCCAGTTGCAGGCTTCCTCAAGGTGATGTTCAGTTGAGAGGGGTGCCGGTTGCAATTCTCTCAAAGTGCGGTTAGGCTGGTGTTGCTGGTTAAGGTGTTCATCCGGGCTTGGCCTTCACTGCCCTTTTATCTTCATGGGGCAGACTTCAATCGATGCCTGGAGACTCCTTTACCAATCACCACTCAATTTTTCATTTGAGCTTATCTTTTGGACTCTCTTACTGGTTAGACATTGTTTTTACATTCCAGTCTGTTTTTCAGTTCTTATTCGTATCATCTCCACATTCTCAGACCACCACCTGCACTTCATTCTGATGGTTATCTCTGTTTACTCCAAATATTTCATAGTGGTCTGTTTAATACCTGTTACAATCATCCAACTATCAATCATACACCCACAGCACACATTCACCCCCCCCCCCATTGCTTCTTTTTCTACAAAATGGAAGTATGTTTAAAATAGCAGCTTAGCATAAGCATAACCATAGCATAGATATAACATATTCTAAAACATAGTCTAACAGTCTACTGTATTCTCAGCACAGAGTCTTCCTGTGACACTTGTGGCATGCATGCCACAGGTTGACTATCTCTGTTGTAAAGTACAGGCAACCCTTGCTTAGTGCTCTTAATTTGTTCCTGAAAAACTAAGTGTTAAGTGAAACAAGCGTTAAGTGAAACTGAAACAATTTGACGACCCAAGATGGTGACCACGATTGTTTTTAATGACCCAAGATGGCGACCACAAGCCTTATAACAAAACTCGCTGAGCGCTGTTGGGTATCAATTTAAAATGAGTGTTATACCAAAATAGCACTAAGTGAAATAGCATTAGGCGGGGGTTGTCTGTATTTGTCTTTGTCTCCTGTAGATGTATGCACCCAGGAAAATGTATATCCAGTGTAGCAGCTATATAGGCTTATAAGTGAATCATATTGAAAAAACTACAGTACTGATGCTGAAGAAGGGTTTGTAAACTATCAAATTCCTGGTGTACTTTAATAAAGATTGTTTGTTTTCCAATAGGTTGGCTGGTGGATACAACTGGCAGCTACACTGCATCATTCCTTCTCTGTGGATTTTCTATGATATTCAGTTCAATACTACTATGCTTTGCAAGACTAGCAAAGAAAATCAAAAGAACACACTTGAGGTCACTTGCCAAAGATGCTAATATCAAGCAGCAAATTTGGACAAATGGAACAATAGCTTATTCTGTAGCAGGTGAATTAGACCAAAAGGATGTGGAAATGTTGGCCATTGACACAAACAGCTACTGCAATAGATGACAGGTATCATCAAGTTTCTATAGAAAACACTGCTATGACTAGTGGCTGCATGTATTGGAAACATCTCCATCGAAAACATATTTCCCAATAAAACAAAAGAAATAAATCATCTATCAACCAAATTTTCTGTCATATTTTAGTAGTATAAAAATAGTCAAATAAAACCAAGGAAAGCTCTCCATTTACAGTGTCTATAGGATGATTTCTAATTCAATAATGCTGGCTCCACAGATAACAAAAATGAACTACTCAGGTAATTGATCATAATCAGAGGTAATTTACATGACAGTCAAGAAGCAAAACTGATAGAATTTATGGTGAAACAATTTTTAAAACAGTGCCTATGAAATATGCTTTTCAGTGTTAATCAGGGGACTAGTTTAAAAAAGTTTGAAATTTATCAGCAATTGTCAAACTCTTTGAAAACAACTACAATAATCACTGTCATTGTAAGAAACTGCTGGAAAACGGTATTCTATTTCGCATATATTATTAGCTGAACAAGTCTCTGAAGCAGCTTTAATTTACATGGTGCCTAAATTTTCTGTGTAACTCGAATGTGTTTTTATATGAAACACAGTTCTCATGACTTTCTCCCCAACTCTGTTGATCAAATGTTGCCAACACCAATATGAAAGTTCCCTGGAGCCTCAATTTCTGAGGGATAACGTTCCAGCCAAGCTCTTTCAGACAATATCCTGTGCTGCTGTTCCATGTCTGAGAAGGTCTGAGGAAGTCCGTGACTGCCTACCAGCCTGGCTTTGGAGATCAGAAGGCTTAGGCTGTCTTTCCAGTGCGGTAATGCATGCAGCTGTGCAGATGTACATGTAAAGCGGCTGAAGCAGATGCTGATAGGCTGGAATGCATATCTGACGCAGAGGCAGATTGTGTGGCCTGCATACTCCACAAGATGGCAAATCTCCCCTTGTAAAAACAGCAACCACTAAGGAAATGTGGGGATCAGTGCTCACAGACAGCTGAGGAACCTCCCTCTCCACATCTCACTAACAGCCACAGCCTGCTGTTGGAGGCAGATAAGCACTCAGGATTGTAATGACAGGTTCTTCTCTGTCAAGTTCAGTGGCCCAGATCCTCAGTCGGTGCGTCGGCTGTGTGGGACAGGAGACAACAGCTGATCTTGGATGCTTATTGAAGCTCATTGTGTTGGGAAAGGAATACAGTTGCAGGCTTCATAAAAGCCATTGAAGGAGTAGCTTGAGGACTATATTAAATGATGGTACACTTAAACATTTCCCAAATGTTGATGATATTACAAATGGGTGCCACTCTGATCCCTTCCCCATGCCTGATCTGCTTCTTGCCCTGTGCTCCCTGCACAACCTGCTGCCCTGCTTTCTGCTTCCTGCCCTATCTGCCAGTGTGCTGCCTGTACCCTCACTTATCTGCCATGTGCCACACACAGAGGCTGGCTCTACCAATTCTGGTATGCACTGTAGGTTGGCCACCTATGATTTAAAACAAAAGTAACAAATAAAAAGATACAGCTTTGGGGCACTACACCAGTTTTGGACAGTTTTTATGAATATATGTTTGGCAACCAGACCTGTTTTTCATTCCCAATTTAGTATAAATTATTGAGGCACAGTTTGGTTTTTTCTCAGTGGTCAGACAGAAAGTATTGTAAATACAAAGAGCCAAATCAGGTTTAATTGCCTACCTCAGGGTGTAGGTCATGCACTATGTATGCTTAAAGGTAACTGTGGCAGTGCACGTTAAGGGCTGGAGCAGGTGCCTGCCACTTCGAGAGCTGGAGCAGAATGAGTGGCAGCCTGCAGGTGACTGCAGAGGAAATCAAGACATCTCTGATTGGGGCTGAGCTGTAGGGCCGTGGCATAAGAGCAGGCCCCGGCAGGCAAAGTCGGCAGTTGCTGTTGGGATGCTGCTGTGATAACATCTCCAGCTTAAAATCTGCTGCTCCCAGGTAGCTGCTGCTCACGACACCAGCCTCCCCGCATGTTGAGAGAATTCCAACCTGGCTAAGCTGATGCTTACAACACCCTGGTGGTAAGGGAGGAACTATGGGGATGGTAAGAGGTTCCTGGGGGGCCCAGTGGGGTCCTGAGTCCCACAGAGAAGGCTTGGGCCTAGAGAGAACAAGGCCCAGCCCAGAACCAGGGCTCACAAGTTGCAGGCCTACACAGGGGCTAGGCATGCCCCTGATTTATAACAGGCAGAGGTGAGGCTGGGGTGAGCCCAGTTGAGGGTGGAGCTGTGGTATTAAGATTTCTGGGGCTCTAAGCAAGCCCAGTGTGAGATGGCTGTATGGTGAGGCCCAGAAGGGGACACCTGCTGCCTAAGGAGGTCAGCTGCTGCAGTGCTGGGACCAGAACACCTAGACTGGTCAATGCAAGAGGGCCAGGGACAGAAGGCTGAAGGGCAATGAAGCCCAATGCGAGGAGCAGGCCTGGGCCATGATGAGCTATGTGGCACCCCGACTGGCTTGGAGGCAGGGCCAGAGTGTAAGGAGGCTGAAAATCCCCTCAATGGCAGGGTCATCACTATTTAGGGGAAGAAAGGCTCAGCAAGACAGCAGGCTGAAATGAAGGAGGCTGAAACTTAGCCTCTGGCTGGGAGGCAGCGAAGGAGGGGTCCAGAGAGTTGGGCCAGCAGCAGCCCAGGAACAACAAGTAGCCCAGTAAGGAGGAGACCAGGGCAGGTAGGCCTGCATGGTCCTGGGTATGACAGAAAACTACACCCTGCTGGGGAAGGATGGCCTGGTGGGACTCTGTGTGGCAGAGGAGTTCCCCAGAAATGTCAGGCCAGTTGCCTCCCCAGTGAAAGGTGAGGAGGGGCACCCTAAAACCTCAGCCCTCACATCCTAGTGGGATACCCAAGTCTAGGGACAGGCATGGGGTCCAGACATGTCTCCGGACACCTGAACCCCATGGAGTGGAAGACTCTAGAGGCCCCATAAAGGGGGCAGATAAACTGGTCCCAGTGAGGGGGCAGAACAGGGCCAGGTAAATCAGCATGACACCTGAGTCCCACAAAGGGGGGGAACAGGACCCCAGTGGCCCCTGGAAAGGGGGACTGAAAGGCCCAGTGAGGGGCTAGGGGCAGAGTCAACCCAGTATAAGGCACAAGGCCAGTGCCACATAGAGTAGAGAAGCTCAAGCGAACCAAAGGGCTGTGTCTGTGCACGGGTCAGAATTAAAGTAGTTAAGCCTGATGGCCCAAGGGGGTCGCTCAGGGAACAAGGGCAGGTCAAGAGTGGCCCTAGGTAGGGCAGTATGAAAGAGGCCCAGTGAGAGAGGGTGAAGTGTAAGAGGCCCCAGTGAGAGTGGGGAGTATGTATGCAGCCCAGTGAAGGGCAAAGTGCTATAGGCCCAGCACAGGACTGAGTATGGCCTGGTCTTAAGCCGGATGTGTAATAATCTGGAAGGCCCTAGTGAGAGAGCATAGGTGGAAGGCCCTACTAGGAGGGTATATGTTAAAGTCCCAGGGAGGGGGCAGATAAACCAAGGTAAGTCTACATGTGCCTGAGGACACAGTTGGGCCAGAGGATGAAACCCCAGTAAGCCCTCAGATGTGGTGGGGCCAAGTTTTGGGTCAGAGGGAGACCCTGGTAAGCCCTCTATCTTGGAGAGGCTGAGTTTGGGTTAAGGTTAAGAACTTGTTTTGGATGCCATCTGCAGGGCATGGGACATGATAAGGGAAGGTTGAAGTCATTTACAGCCCCTTGGCATCAGGGCACTAACATGGGCAGTCTCCCACATTTGACACCAGTTTTGTGAACAACAAATTGTGGCAGGTGAGACTGGGTGGACTGCCCCATACAGAGACAGGTGGGCAGGCCATGGTTGAGACCCAGCCCTGAGATGGTGCTCTGTCACAGTAACCTTTCAACTTCATTGATACTGCTTCAATTCTGTGGGAAGACTACCTCTCTTGTACTGGGTTTGAGCAGCCTGAAGCCTGTTCTGTTTTTCACTGACTGTGAAAGGCCCTGAGCACTGAAAGTACAGCTAGATACCTGTATACTCTAGAGTGTCCCAGCCACATCCCCGTCTTCTTGCAACACTGATAACAGGTGGGTGTACAGTATATACGGGCTCTATGCTTTTCTACAAAAGCAATCTTTTGTGGAGCTGTTACATCATCCATGTGCTATGATGATGTAATCACACTGGTGAATCTGCTCCAGGGCTTCACCCTCTTCTCTTTCAACTTTCTTTTCTGAACAAAGAGTATTTTTGTGCTTTTTGGGTGCATCCAGAAAAGTGTGCACATGCCTCTTGCAGCATCTCAAACCCCTTTGAGACACTGGAAGAGGCATGTGCAGGAACAAAAAAATGTTCCCTTGGCTGCAAATTTGCAGTGTGGAGGCAAAATTAGACCCCTGGATATCCAAGGGTGAAACAATACCCCAGAGGAAAAAAGCGGGGCAGGGCACAGTCCCAGACCATGTCCTGAGGCAACCGGTGGCTCAGTCTTCCACAGAGATGCTCTGGTAGCCAGCCAGAGCAGTTCTGTGGTTGGTCCTTTCCCTGGTGCTGAAGCACACTGCCTGCCCATGTGGGGCAGACAGTGGTGCAAGCTGCAGGGACCTGGAACCAGCTTTGTACAGGTAAGTAGGGGGATGGAGGAGGGGGGAGGGGACCATGGGGAGGCTCCGCCTGGCCCCAGCCCCCGTTTGTTCTCCCCACCC